CTCACCACTGAGGTCAGAGCCATCTGAAAACTGTAGATGCGGGCAAGGCCAAAGTCAGCCAGTTTTATTTGTCCGCTGCTGGTCACCAGAATGTTCTGTGGTTTTAGATCACGGTGCACTACGCGGTGAGAATGAAGAAAGTCCAGACCCCGGAGAAGCTGAAACATCATATCCTAAAGAAGACCAAAGGAGAAAATCAATACACAGTCAAGACGGAAGTGCAACCTGCCAAGCCCTCGGCGCTCAGGGGAGTGCCTGGCACACAGAAAGCATTTGAGAAACATTTGCTGAGTGAATGAATCCATCTCCCTTCCTACCTCTCGACTCTCCCATTCTCAAGATCACTACAACAATGTTTACTCTGGAGCTGTACTTTATTAATGAAAGGACAATTTAAAAATAGTTTCAGACGGCATAGGAAATATTCTGGAAGAACATATACCAAACTGGTGTCAGTGGTTAATGCTGGGGAGAGGATCTGGGAGAGGTGGTGGAGGGAGGGGAATATTTTTTACTTTGTATACTTCTATATGGTTTGGTATTTGATCTCAATAGTTAGTCTAGTGAATAATAATAATATTCATAGTAATTATTATTTTATAGCACCACATATTAAGCTGACACTGTGTCAAGCACTGTTCTAAGTACCTTCTATTTAGTAGCTCACTCAATCCATACCATAACATTAAGGCAAATAATATCATCACCCCATTTTACAAGTCAAGAAAGTGGTACACAGCATATAATTAGCCCAAAGTCACACCACTAGCAAGAGACAGTTTTGATTCAGAAAGTCCAGATAACGTGAATTCAAATTCCCAATGCACTTCTTTATCATATCAATGATGGGAGGAGTAGTGGGTAAAACCAGATAAGCCATTTAACCTCGCTGAGCCTCAGTTTTCCCATCTGTAAAATGGCAAAGTACCAAAACCTATTTTGTAAGATCATTGTAGCAAGCATTCAATACATGGTAGCTGTTATTGCCATACTTACTCAGCATAAAGCAGGGGACATTCAGAAAATAAACCAATAATATCACATCTCTTTCTAATTTTAGAATTGATAAAATTAGATAGAACATTTAAAACTCAGAAACAGTGTCTCAAAGTAGGAATTCAAAATTTGACCGTGATATGATACTCGGAAATCTGGGGTTAATAAGATTGATCTACCTCTCCAAATATTGTGAGAATGGTGTATACAAGGGAGGGCAGACATTATCTTGTTCATATAAAGGTTAGAAAAATGATTAGGCAGCATCATGGGCTTCATGGCTGTGGGGTGATGTGGTGTGAGGACACACACTAATCAGCAGCTGGACCACTAAGCCCCTGGCGGAGAACAGTATATTTGGTTATTGGTTTAAGGTACTAGTTCTTCCTTTAGAGATGGGAGTTCTGTTTTCACATCCCAGCTTGTTTATAATTGAAGCCTTAGTTTTTCCATTTACATAATGGAGAAAATAGTGCTTCCTTTTCACACCATTATGAGATTTAAATGAAGTACTGTATGCAAAGGGGTTATGAAGTTTCTGGCACATGGTATCATTTAACTGTGATAATTGTTAAAATGTACTGTTTCCTGGGGGAGACAGAATCACAAGCAACCACAGGAAAATGTGGTCAGTGCCATCAGGTCAGGGCACAAAGGGCTCAGGGTGGGTATGCAATGACACCATGACTGGGATCTTCCTGAGATCCACCTAGATGGGTACAGTCGTCCCCGCTTCCCCACAGTTTCACTCTCCACTGTTTCAATGACCCACAGTTAACTATGGTCCTAAAAAACTAAGTGGGAAATTCCAGAAATAAACAATTCATACATTTTAAATGCTCTTCTGAGTAGTGGGATGAAAGTTGTGCTGCCCCACTCTGTCCCACCTGGAACATGGGTCATCCCTTTGTCCAGTGTGTCCACATTGAATACACTACCTGGCTGTTAGTCACTTGGTAGCCCTCTCAGTCATTAGACTGGTTAACAGATACAGAGAGAGAGAGAGAGAGAGAGAGAGAGAGAGAGAGATGGGTTGGGGGGGAGAGGAAGGGGAAGAGGGAGAGAGTGAGCACATTCTCATAACTTTTACTACAGCATATAATGTTATAACTGTTCTACTTTATTAGTTATTGTTAATCTTTTACAGTGCCTAAGTGATAGGTTAAACTTTATCACAGGTATGTAAGTATAGGAAAAAACATAGTATACATAGGGTTTGGTACTATTGCGGTTTCAGGCATCCACTCTGGATGAGGGGGACCTACTATCTTTTGAATCTCCCGAGGTGAAAACTTTGGAGAAGACTGTACTGTCCACCTCTAGTCAGTCCTTCGAGACTTAAGAACCACTATAGGCCAAACAACAATGAATAAACATGAGTGTGAAAATGAAGCACAAAACGTTAAGGAAAGTAGTCTTCCGCTGTGGCAAATAAGTCTTTATTGAAAACATATGCACACACTTGTAAGCACTAAATTTTAAATAGCATGACTAACCTAAAGTAATGTTATGCTGGTTCATCATTTTTAGCTTCTTGTATATCGAGTACCAACAATTTAAAAAGGTACAAAGAATAAATCTGCTTGGCTCAGTTGTCACTGTCCAAACAATAAGCAGCAAATTAGCAGAACAAAGATTTAAAAATCTGAACTAATTAATTAATAAGGCTCATTTAACTTTATAAAAATCCTGGACTACAGAGTAAATAAATGTGCACTGCTTTTATTTGTGCATTTATTTATAGCACATAATATATAGTTTTTAAAATTATAAAATTGGTGTATGCTTAATGCAATAAATTATAAAATTTTAAAAAATTCCATAGGAAGGACAAAAGTCACTCAAAATCCTACCCCTTAGAGAACAGAGAAATCTTCACTCAAATAATTTTTGTGTCTTTCTTGTCTGTGTTTCAAAAATCAGATGTAGGTATAAAAAGAATATATGGCTATATTATTATAATTTACGTAAGTACTATAATCATAATATAATTTATATAAATATTATACGTTTGTGCCATAGTATATTAAATGTTTATAAATAAAAATGGTTATTATTCTATACATGTTATTTTGTGGTTCTTTTAAAAAATGTAATAATTCATTGTAAATATTTTGCCACTACAACAAAACTTCTACAAAAAAGTTTTTATACAACATGATTTTTAATGGCTGCATGGTTTTCCACCTTGCAGTATACCATAATCATTATTTGTTTTTAGTTGTGTTATTTTGGAACTTGTACTAAGAGTCTACTTTTCCTTTGTTTAAAGGGGAACATAGATGAAAATGACTTAATATTGCATCTAAGCACAGGTTAAGCGGTGTGAATCCACATACTTGCACTAGAAATTGATTCCATGTAAGTGATGCCTATAAATATAGGAAAAGTTAGTTCTACACAAGAATTACCATTCTTCAGATTTTGGGTTTTTTTTGGTTAGCAAACAGGGTTTTCTTTTAAACCTAGAATATCTAGCCACAAGAAGAGTTTTGAACTAGTGAGCTTTGAATTAACAATTAAAAAAAAAATCTTGCCAACAATCTCATTCCCTTCAGTAATTTAATTGTGAGGTAAGTTGATGAACATAATGGACCTGTAGTAAGTATGATTTGGGGACCCCCCCCTCAGCTTTAACCATCAGTCATTGGAACACCTAATCTCAAAAGAAACACACACTCAATTATCTCAGGAACTCTGGTCACAGACATGGTCCCAGTTTTTGAGGATGCTATGAACAAATAAGTCGTAACACTAAACAAGGTATGAAAAAACACCTTTCCTTCAGAATCACAAGTAGTGCTCTGATCAAAGCATTTCATAGGATTCTCTACTTACATTTATTATCTGTTCTATCTCAACTTACAGTAGCATGAGACACACTTTTAAATGAGCTCCTCAAGATGTTAATCTAAATTAATCTGTTATATACAAGGCTCAAATATTTCACAGTAAGCTTAGTGACACAATGTGGAGATACTGCCAATGAAGGCTCTTTAAGTTAAACGTAGGTTAAGCCTTTTTATGTTACAGCGCACAGTCCTGGGAGAAAAGGTTTGCATGCCTAGCCTTCCTAATGATAAACAGTCACCTGGGGCCTCCTCACTCTGTATCTTTCTGAAATGCATGACGGGAAAGCATGTTTCAACAGGACTGCATCATGGAATGAAGTCTGACTTCCAGTGACTTTAGGTGGTGTTTTTGTCCTTGGCAAACTCCCCTAAACGACTCTGGACTTCAGTCTGAAATCTTTAAAGCCTTGTAATTTTTTTTAAGTGTTCTAGAACTTTAACCCTCTTATTTCTTTAAAATCAAAACAAACAAACTAAAAACTTTTCTAAAAGGAAAAAGTTTTACTGCTAGGTCTTTTTCCAACTACAAAATAGTACAAATAGGTCCAAAATATACTAAAAACACTCAATTTATCTCACACAGTAAATCACAGAAATGACAGCTCTCAATTGATAATTTTTGGATATATCTACTTAATCGAAGTGCCATATTCACATCCTTACAATTTTAGCCACAAAAATATACATGCGTAGTTTATCTATTAAACAATTTAAAATAAGACATATACAACTTTTAGACAAAGATAATCATTTTTCCCCTCCTTATAATATGTAAACCACAGTCTTTTCAAATTTGTCTCCATGTTTCAACAGAATTCTCTTTACAATGATTTACTGTTTCCTATGAAGGGTATCAGAGGAGGCTACAGTTTAAAACAGATCACACATAACAAAGGTTTTTTATACTGAACCGAGAACATGTTGACTTCTGGTAAGGGTTATCATTACAGGAAGAGAAGTGAAAGATCACAGGAGCCTATACATAACAGTGATGATAAAGTCATAGGGAAAGTAGAGGACTGCTGACCATAATGAGGGCTAGTCCCAGGATCTTTTCATTTCTTATAATTTTGCTGATAACTAATTATATACATATAAATTTTTAGTTGCAAAATCAAATACACATAAAATTTACCATTTTAAACCACTTTAAGTGCACAGTTTAGTACTAAATATATTCACACTGTTGTGCAACCAATCTTTAGAACTTTTCCATCTATCAGAACTGAAATTCTATACCCATTAAATATCTCCGCATTTCCCTCTCCCTGCCCAGACTCTGGCAACCGCCCTTCTGCTTTCAGTCCTTATGAATCTGACTACTC